CTTTCTATACCACACTTTGTGATTGTAGCTTTGAGTAGAAATTGTAAGTCCTGAAATTTTGTTCTTTTACAGAATTGTTTTACTGTTCTAAATCTTCTACATTTCCATATAATTTTATGATCAGCTTGTCAGTTATTATTTTGACTGTATATATTTGGATTTTGTTATTTTATCCAATTCGACAGTTTCCTTCTTTTAATTGAAATGTTTTGTCCTGCACTGTCTGGTAGGGTAGCCATTAGCCACATGTGGCCATTTAAATTTAAATTAGTTAAAATTAAATAAAATTTTATTTTATTAAATTAAATTCCTCAGTTACATTGGTTACATTTCAAGTGCTTAATATCTATCTGCATGTGACTAGTGAGTATCTGTTGCACAGCTCAGATATAGAAAATTTCCATCATTATAGAAAGTCCTACTGGACAGCACTAGTGTACATCATTTATCTTTAATTTAATTATAGATATTTCTGAATTTAAGTCTGTCAGTTTGCTCTTTGTCCTTTTTTTCCTTTTCCTACCTTCTTTTAGATTAATGAAGTTTTTATGATTGCATTTTATAGCTAATATGGCTTATTAGCTATATTTCTGTTTTTCTAAAAATAAATTTTAAATAGTAATTGATAAAGGCTTCAATTGACACACCACCCTCAAACAATATTATAGTAGTTTGTGAATAATACAGAAATATTACAACAGTATATCTCCATTCCCCTTCCTATCCTTTATGCTGTTATTATACATTCTACTTCTCCATGTATTATAAATCCTGTAATAATTGTTTTTGCTTTAAACATTCAGTTATATTTTCAAGAAATTTAAACATGGAAGGAGCTCTCTCACATTTACTCATTTTATTATTTCTAAAATTAAGTTTATTGGGGTGACATTGGTTAATAATATTACATAGGTTTCTTTTTTTAATTTGTTGTTCAAGTACAGTCGTCTCCATTTCCACTACACCACATCCCCAACCCCACCCATTCTTGCTTCCTACCCTTGAACCTAACCCCTTTAATTTTGTCCATGTGTCCTTTATACATGTTCCTTAATGTCCCTTTTCCTATTATTCCCCTCCCCATTACTGTCAGTTTGTTCTTTATTTCAGTGTCTCTGGTTGTATTTTGCTAGCTTGTTTGTTTTCTTTATTAAGTTCCACTTACAGGTGAGATCATATGGTATTTGTCTTTTACTGCCTGGCTCACTTCACTTAGGATATGCTCTCCAGTTCCATCCATGCTATTGAGAAGGGTAGTAGCTCCTTTCTTTCTGCTGCATAGCATTCCATTGCGTAAATGTACCACAGTTTTTTTTTTATCTCATTTACTGATGGGCACTTCCAATACTTGGCTATTGTAAATTGTGCTGCTATGAATAATGGGGTGCATAGGTTCTTTTGCATTGGTGTTTTAGGACTCTTAGGGTATAATCCCAGCAATGGTATTGCTGGGTCAACTGCCAACCTGAGTTTCCATCTTTTGTTATTTCCTTTCTCTCAAAGAACTTTTTTTTTTTTTTTTTTTTTTTTAAGATTTTATTTATTTATCTTTAGAGGGGAGGAGGGGGGAAATTATGTTTTTTAACATCTCATATAGTGTAGGTCTACTTACAATGACTTTTCTCAGATTTTGTCAACAGATGTCTTCATTTTGCCTTCATTGGTAAAGAATATCTTTCACTTGATAATAGAATTCTTGGTTGCCATTTTTTTCTTTTGGCATTTTATTGATGTTGTTCTGTTGTTTCCTGGTTAGCATTGTTTCTTATGAGAAACCTATAGTCATTTTATGTTTCACTTGTATATAGTCTGTCTCCCATACCTGGTTGCTCATAAAGTTTTCCTTTATCTTTATTCTTAAACAGTTTGCTCTGACATGCCTACTTATGGTACCTTTGGATTTTCCCACTGTAGTTTGCTGAAATTCTTTGATCTCTGAGTTGATGTTTAGAAAATTGAAAAATCTTTGGTCACTCTTACTCAGATATTTTCTTCCTCCATTCTCTTGCCTGCGTCTTTCTTCACCTGCTGTTTCAATTATAGGTACGTTAGATTATTTGGTATTGTCCCATAGTTTTTTGAGTCTCTGTTATAGTTTTATTTTTTTCTGTGAGAGAATTTTAACTTGGATAATAACTATTGCAACAAATCTCTGTTCCATGGTTTGATCTTCCATTCTCTTTGTTGCCTCTTGTTGTTGAGAGCTTTCTTTAATATCTCATGATTCCCTCTGATGTCACCTATTATATCCATCTCTTTCCTGTGGAAAAGTGTGTATTTTTCTTTCTTAGTATGATTACTATAGCTATTTTAAAGTTCTTATGAGATAATTAACTTTTGGTTCATTTGTGGATCTCTTTCTGTTGACTTCTTTTTCCTTGAGTATGAATTCAGTTTTTCTGCTTCTATATGGTAGTTTTTTATTGTATAGGAGATATTGTGAATGATACATTGAGGAGGTGTTGGATTCTGTTTTCTTTTTTTTTGAAGAGTATTGACCTTTGTTCTAACAGGCAAGTTATTGGCTGGTCACATTGACTATGTTGAGCTTTTGTTATAGTCATTGTTAGAGCAGGACTACTTCAGTTGTGCCTTCTATATTAGGGAGCATTTCTGACTCCTGAGATGTGATTCTTATTCCTAACATATAGCCCATATAGGTTTTCATTGGGAAGCCTTAAAGTGTTTGCCAAGCACCTTTAATTTACAGACTCAAAATTCAAGCTTCCCAGGATGGCTCTCTTGAACACTCTGTGTAACTTCTTGTTCCTATTTTTACCCTGCTAGGCTCTTTGTATTCATCTGATACATGTGCAAATCAACAGTCAGCCAAGGATTTGAGGGAAGTTTATTTAAAGGTTTTGGACTCCCTCCTTTCTGTAATTTTCTCCTTCAATTCTCACCTGATTTACATGGCCTTTTCTCCAACTGACTTACCAACCCAGTAAGACTGCCACTTGCATTTTGAGCTCTGTCTTCCTTGTGCAACAATGACTGGGTAGTACCCTCAGGGGAAAAGCTAGAAAATATTTCACCTTATATGTTTTTCTTGTCTCAAGAGTTTCCACTTCAATGTCTACCAGCCTTTGGTTATACTCCAGTACTTAAAAAATTGATTATAGTTATTATTAATAGGAAGGTTAGGTGACTTTGTTATTCTGCCATTACTGGGTGCTAGGACTGTACCTATAATTTTGTATTGTACTTTTTTCACATATGTTAATATAAGAACCAGTGCTTATCCATTGACACATATGAGAGTATTCCAAAAAAGAGGGAATCATCTGGCAAAAATGTCATTTTTGTCTGCTGTGTTTAAGGCTTCCATTCAACCAGATACTGTGAAATTTGTTCACACCAAGTTGTGCAAAAACAGTAGACAGCCCTATGCTGTCACTGAGTTGGCAGGCCATCAAACCAGTCTTGGGGTACTGCCAGAGCTATGACTCAAATTCCCAGAGTTTAAAGTGGTGGAACTCATCAGTCTGATCAGGGCGATTTTGGAAATATGTATCATCCACATGTTTGTACCAACCCAAACCTGGTGGCATTGGCTCCACAGAGTGAACATGATGTGCCATCAAGCTCTCTGCCTTGGCTGGTCATGCCTAAAGGTCATCATATTGAGGAAGTTCCTAAATTTCCTTTTGTGGTTGAAGATAAAGTTGAAGGCTACGAGATTACGGGGGCTGATTTGCTTCTTAAGAAACTTAAGGCCTGAATGTTATTTAAAAAGTCCATGCCTCTCAGTGAATGAGAGATGGCAAGAGCAAGATGAGAAACCATCCTAGTATCCAGCACAGAGGACTTTGCATTATCCAAAATAGAATTTTTAAATACAAAATTGTAAATTTATTCTTACCTATTTAACCTTCAGTCACCTTCAAACTACTTTCCATTTGATGCAATAAACCTATTGAGATTTTTTTTCACTACTCAGAACAGTTTTTGAACTTGTGATTTTGATGCCATTTAGTGTTTCTGCCATTTTTTATTTCCCCTCTTTCACATCAGCAAACCATTTCCCTTTGAGAACTCTTTTCATCTGGGGAAACACAAAAAATGTCTCTTGGAGTGAAGATAGAGTAAATAGGGTAGGACATGGGGGTTGTACCATCTTTAGTCAAAAACTTCTTTTTGACTTCTGAACACTCAGCTTGCAGTGTGGACAGGTACATTCATAAATCACCCATTATGAAATGGGCAAATGTGTTCAGAGAGTCTTTAAAAAAATTCACTGAAGTGTAATGCAGCCTGTCACAACAGTGCCAACTGGTACACTTGTACAGAACACTCACCTAACAGGGGAAGCCTATGCTGCAAGAGGCTCACCCACCAGAGGATAGGTGGGGGGTCCCCCCTCGTGTAATGAGGATAACGGTATCATCAAAGCCTTCAGAAACATCCTTGGAATTTCTCTGTATAATGTAAACAAACTGAACACTTTGAAACTGCTCCTGATGGGCATGTGGGCTGTTACTACATTTGGATTAAAAGTACTCTCTGCAAGTTAGATGATCCGTATGGCACTACCACAGAAGAAAACAAACCTGCAGCATAAACTTAACTCTGTTCATACCACAAAGGTCAAATCACTGTGGACAGGTAATTTTTAATAAAAATCTGATCAAAGGCAAAAAAATCCCCAAATTAAAATGTTGTTAGAAATGTACCACAAAATGACTTTAAACATTTTGTTTTATAAATGAATGCCCCAAATAAACTGCCATTTGTTTTACAAATGAGCAGTTTACTTGGATAGTTTTTTCTTTTGAGAATCAAATATTTTAATGTTATAAGTGCTGCTGAACTCATTATATGAAGAGAAGAAATACATGTTTTCAGGGTCTGGACACATTTCTCACAAATTTACTTAGTTGTATCTTGGGGAGGTAAAATTATAAAATTTTAAGTTTCTTTGATATATTTATTCTTTCAAACTTCTTTATATCCTGTCTTAGTAAAGGTTTTGTTTTTGTTGTTGCTATTTTTTTCTTTAGCAGAAAAGAGAAAATATTCGTCCTTTGACTATGTGTGGCCACGTTGGTTTTGAGAATTTGCCTGATCAGCTGGTCAACAGATCCATTCAGCAAGGCTTCTGCTTCAATATTCTCTGTGTTGGTCAGTGCCAGACTCTTCCTCTAAGTTATTCCTTCATGTTCCTTTTGCTTACTTCATTCTTGTAAAGCTGTGTGGTGCTCATGTTATCAATTTGAGGTAATGATCACAGATTTTGTTCAGTTACTTACATTTTATGAGTTTTTTTTCACCTGTACTGCTTTAAGTATTTCATTACTTCAGATTTCTGAGTAACTTAGCATACTTACTCAATTTTATGTTCTACTAATGACTTAGTGGACTGACCTTAGCATGTATTTCTTGGACAAATCAGCCTTTGAAATATTAGAAATATTTGGGGTTCTTGAAGCCACTCTGAGAGTTTACAGTTCTATTTTTTCTTATCCATCCTGTGCACTTTTGAAGATGTACCTTTGTTTCTTTCAGGGGAGACTGGAATTGGAAAATCAATGCTGATTGATACATTGTTTAATACTAATTTTGAAGACCATGAATCCTCACATTTTTACCCACATGTTAGACTTAAAGCTCAGACATATGAACTCCAAGAAAGTAATGTTCGATTGAAATTGACCATTGTGAATACAGTGGGATTTGGTGACCAAATGAACAAACAAGAAAGGTACGTTTTCTTTTTGTAGTAAAACAAGTTTTTTTTTACTTCAGGACATTTGTATTCTCTTACCATGTGCTATGATTTGATTTTCTACTATGGAAATCCATACCTTTCCTCCCAGTCTTCTAATTGTTTTAATCATTAAGCAATATTTTGCTCTAACAAATGTAATTTTTTAAAAATTTTTATTTTATTGATTATGCCATTACAGTTGTTCTATTCCCCCCTTCATTTCCCTCCACCCTGCACTGCCCCACCCCACCATTCCCCCTTTTAGTTTATGACCATGTGTCTCAAGTTCTTTAGATTCTATATTTCCCATACTGTTCTTGCCCTCCCCCTATCTATTTTCTACCTAACATCTATGCTACTTATTTTCTGTACCTTCTCCCCCCTTCTCCTCCTCCCACTCCCCTGTTGCTAACCCTCCATGAGATCTTCATTTCTATGGTTCTGCTCCTGATCTAGCTGTCCTCTTAGTTTGCTTTTGTTTTAGATGTGGTTGTTAATAACTGTGAGTTTGCTGTCCTTTCACTGTTCATCTTTTTTATCTTCTTTTTATTAGAAAAGTCCCTTTAACATTTCATATAATAATGGCTTGGTGATGATGAACTCCTTGAATTTGATCTTATCTGAGAAGCACTTTATCTGTCCTTCCATTCTAAATGAAAGTTTTGCTGGATAGAGCAATCTTGGTTGTAGGTCTTTGGATTTCATGACTTGGAATATTTCTTTCCAGCCCTTTCTTGCCTGTAGGGTCTCTTTTGAGAAATCAGTTGACAGTCTGATGGGAACTCCTTTGTAGGTGACTGTCCCCTTAGCTCTTGCTGCTTCTAGGATTCTCTCTTTCATTTTAATCTTGGCTAATATAATTATGATGTGCCTTGGTGTGTTTCTTCTTGGGTCCAACTGCTTTGGGACTCTCTGAGCTTTCTGGATTTCCTGGAAGTCTATTTCCTTTGTCAGATTGGGGAAATTCTCCTTAATTATTTGTTCAACTAAGTTTTCCACTGGTGGTTGTTCCTTTCCCCCTTCTGGTACCCCTATAATTTGGATGTTGGAGCATTTAAAGATGTCCTGGAGGTTCCTAAGTCACTCCTCATTTTTTTGAATTCTTGTTTCTTCATATTTTCCTGTTTGGTCATTTTTTCCTTCTTTTTGGTTCAGTCCCTTGATTTGAGTCCCAGTTTCCTTTTCATCACTATTGGTTTCCTGTGCAATTCCCTTCATTTCAATTAGTTTAGCTGTCATATGTTCCTCTAATTTGTGACTAAAATCAACCAGTTCTGTGAGCATCCTGATCACCAGTGTTTTGAATTGTGCATCTGAAAGTTTTGCAATTTCTTTATCGCTTAGAGTTGTGGGCTCTGGGGCCTTGAGATCTTCTTGAGCCATTTTTGGTCTGTTCCCACCGGTCCAGCTGAAGCATTCATTGTTTCAGACTTCCAAAAAGTTCAATTTTCTGTGTTCTGGCTGTGTTTTCTGTTGCTAATATTTTGTTGTCTCTAAACTTGGTTGTGTGAGAAAGCACGGTGTCTCCACCTATGCCTCCATCTTGGTGGAAGTCCCAAATTGACATTTTTATATTCAGTTACCTAATTTCCCTAGCATAATTTGAAATTCATCATTAAAATGTCTATTTCAGCTAAAATAGTTTTAATTCTTTTCTGATATGCCAATTCATTCTATTTTAAGTGATTTTTACTAATTTTCAGGCAAGACTAAATTCAATGAGGGGAAAAAAACAAGACATACAATGGCAAATATCTAATGGCCAAATCCATGGATTTTTTTTTTTTTTGAGATTCTAACCAAATTAGCTAAGTACATTATAATGCATTACAGGAAACTTTTGATAATGAAGTTTCTTTTTTATATTATGTCATTATTCTGTGAAATTTAAACTAAGAAAAGGCGAAACAGATTGGGGTAAAGCAAAAACTTTTGTTCCTATTTCTTTTTTAGAAAGTATGTATTTTCATCATTAGAGGTAATTTCCTGCTTTTCTAAAGTTTGCTTCAGAGAGAAAATATTTTGCATAATAGTTTTTACATAAAGAGTTATGTAACTTACGTCAGCCTTTTCAGCATATTTGTGTGTTCTGCTTTAAATTTCAAGAAATGATTTGTGTGCACTTTTTGAAGAAGCAGATTAGTGGCAGAGGCAAAGGCCTGTGACATGTTGTTATAAGTCATACTAATTTTTTAAGTAATTTTCTATATGGCGACCTTGTATGGCTTTATAAATTTATACTTTGATATCTGGCACTTTTGATGCTGCCATACATGGAATCTTTTAAAAGTATTTCATTTTCTATGGAAATATTGATTTTAATATAGCAACTTCTGTAAATTCTCTGATTAATTCCAACAGTTTATCTTTAATATTGTTTAGATTTTCTATGCATGTACTAGTATAATCTACAAATAATGACATTTATATGACTTCCTTTTCAATTCTTCTGCTTTTCTTTTTAAATGTTTTATTGATGTCTAATTTACATAAAAATGCACCAATTTTTGAAGTATATAGTTCAATTAGTTTTGACAAATGTATAGCTTTGAAACCAACACTATGGTTAGAATATAGGAAAAGTCCAGCGTCTTGGGTACTTTCCTCACATGCATATACATGTGCACATCAGTGCTTCACCAAAGGCAAAAGATGGGCCCTTTCTAGATCTCCAATGCTTTCTGTTGGTGCAGCTCCTTTTTTCCAGTGTTCTTGTCTATAAATTCTAGTTGCTTTGGCCTCCCTGACTGCTATGTATATGTCTTCAACTCATAGAACTGGCCAGGATCTATTCTCTCTTTGGTGCTATGCCCTGGAAACTGAAACCTAGGGCAAATTACTATGGACATAGCATATTATTTAACTGAGAAAATGTGTGAGTATCAATAACTTAAAAGATATATATTTTTTAGATTTTATTTATTTATCTTTAGAGGGGAAGGGAAGGAGAGAGGGAGAGAAACATCAATGTATGGTTGCCTTTCATGCATCCCTTGCTGGGAACTGGCCTGCAGGGCAATGGCCTGCTACCCAGGCATGTACCCTGACTGGGAATCAAACCATGATCCTCTGGTTCGCAGGCCCCGCGCTCAATCCACTGAGCTACACCAGCCAGGGCTCTCAATAACTTAAAAGATATTTAAGTCAAATTCTATAACTTCTTGCTTCTCACATTAGATTTGTATGGCATAAAAAGCATTAACATATCAAGGAGGAAAGGCTCACATCAAATGAAAGTATCAAATCAGAAATGCAGTTAAATGTGGGAGCCTTGTTAGGAAGGGATCTGTTATGTGAATGAATGTGAGAATGAAGCGATGTAAATTCAATATCATTTCTATAAAACAGTTTAAAACATGGGTTATTCCGATAGTTTTAAAGTACTACCTCAATACATGCATATTTTGCACAATTTGTTTTATTACTTAAAGTTATCTGTTCAGCATACTGTGTTTATTAATTGATGAAAATATAGATCTCAAACTTCAGAGTTACATAAGTATCTTATTAAGGTAGCATGAATATGTCTTATTCAATATTTAAATAATTATTATTTTTAGCTACCAACCAATAGTTGACTACATAGATGCTCAGTTTGAGGCCTATCTCCAAGAAGAACTGAAGATTAAGCGTTCTCTCTTTAACTACCATGATTCTCGTATCCATGTGTGCCTCTACTTCATCTCACCAACAGGCCACTCTTTGAAGACACTTGATCTCTTAACCATGAAGAGTCTTGACAGCAAGGTGGGTTTGGAAAAGGAATCAACTTATCCTGCTTTAATATTGACTTCGAATTATTAAAATATCTTTATGATAATATATGTATAACTTTTATTTTGTGCATTTTAAAAACATTTGATAAGTTTCAGTCTTAGGTGATTTTCCAGAGAAATTCAGTTTAAAAGATGACATGCAAAGAAAAAACATTAACATAAAATTTTAGTTCTTTTTTAATGGTTAAATTGCCTGTCAGAATATGGGGATTCATTTACCTATTCTTAAAAAAAAATCTATCAGTACTACATTCCTTTTAATTAATTACTGAATAATACTCCATTTTATGGATATTTCATATTTTATCTACTCAACAGTTGATGGGCATTTGGGGTTTTGGCTATCATAAATAATGCTGCATGGTTACATGTTTTTAGTTCTCTTGGCTATATACCTAGGAGCGAAATTGCTGGGACACATAGGTTATTAGTTTATTTGCTAGAGCTGCTGTAACAAAATACCACACACTGAGACAGAGGCTTAAATAACAAATTAATTTTCTCACAGTTCTGGAAGCTAGAAGTCTAAAGTCAAGGTGTCAGCCGGTTTGGTTTCTGCTGAGGCCCCTCTCCTTTACTTGCAAATGCATCCACAAACTCTAATTTTGCTCTTGCTAAAATAGTTTCCTTTGATGACATAACTTCTAGGGTCTTATGTTAAAAAAATTGGGAGAGGGGAAAAACAGGTGTGTATACACGCATGACAGAAAATCCCTTTCTTCGCATTTGGTTAGTAACACTTGGAAACCTCTTTTGAGAATCTTTATACCACTGCTGTTTTATAATAACCAGCATATAGATGGACAGGGTACAACTAGGACTGTCTACTCCTCTCTATACAGTAAAAATCCCGGAGTCCAGAGTCCTGGTGGAATTTAGTTTTGGAGACTGGAAGTTTGAGATCAGGGTGCCAGCATGGTTGTGTGAGGGCCATCTTCCCAGTTGCAGACTTCTCACTGTGTCCTCACATGGTGAAAGAAACATTTACATTTTTTAAATGTAGAATTTACTTGACACTAATTTTACTTTATGACACTCTTAAGTGAGAAGTTAATTGACAAAGGTTAATATCTAATGTTTTATCACATTATTGCAAATTATATTTTAATGTGAACTATACCAAGAAAACCTATATTTAAATTTCTGAACCAAGGAGAGATATGTAAATTCAGGGAGCTATAAAAATATTATATACAAATGAACTCTCTTTGGATTTTTATCTAAAAGGTGATTAAAGGCTACTGTCTTTTTTTAAAAAGATTTTATTTATTTATCTTTAGAGGGGAAGGGAAGGAGAAAGGGAGAGAAATATCAATGTGTGGTTGCCTTCTCGTGCGTCCCCTGCTGGGAACTGGCCTGCAACCCAGGCATGTGTCCTGACTGGGAATCAAACCTCGATCCTCTGGTTCACAGGCCTGCGCTCAATCCACTGAGCTACACCAGCCAGGGCTAAAGGCTACATTCTTATACTAAAAAAATACAGAGGTTTTCTGTAACCTCTGAGAATATGAGAAATTCAGCTTTCATTATCCTGGCTAATAATTTTATGAGATAATATTCAGAAAGTAAGGGCATTTGGCCATTACTACTTTCTATATAAACATCACTGTGGAAAGCATGAAGGCCTGCTAGTGAAGTCTTGGTAAATAGATTTATTTACTTTTTACTAGTTGTAGTCCCTGCCTTTAGCAGTAACTTGATGAAGCTTATATGATAGCCTGTTCATCTGATAGATTTTCTAACCATTTAGCCAGTTATTTTCCTTGTTTGGTCTGATTATATGGAAGTTTATATTTATTAATGGAACATAAAAGTAAGGATGTGTAACTGTGTCTTAGCAAGACAGAAGCAACGTGATGTAGTTTGTATAAATATAGCATTTGGTGTCAGTAAAGGCAGGTTTTAAATATTAACTCTGTCACTTAATAACTACATGTTCTTGGACAAGTTCTTTAGCCCTCTGAGCCTCAGTCTCCTCACGTCTAAAATAAAACTAAGGAATTATGTTGTGTCCTCCAGCTTATAGGTAGTGATGCTCTTGGCCAGGAACACCTGAGGTATTCCTGCAAATGTATTTATTCATATTGTGAACCCCATAGACATCGCTCCTCCCTACTGCCGCCACCACCAGGGTCTCAGTGTCATGGCTGCACCAACGATCGTGTTTCTTAGTATGATCTCAGGATACACGTCAACAAGAAACTATCAGAAAACTTTGAAGAACAAGATTTGTTACTTGTAGATCCTGGAGGGTACATAACACACCCAAGGACCTACAGGGAGGACAGGAGGAGAAAGGGAGGGAGTATGAACCTGGGGCTCAATGTTTATTAGTGTTCAAGGACGGGGTGTCTAGGGTTTTATGGATTGACTCTTTTTTCCCCAATCTTATTATTTCTTTTTTTTATTGTTCAAGTACAGTTGTCTCCATTTCCTCCCTACTGCTCTTTGGCTTTATCCCTGTGTCCTTTATATATGTTCCTAAAAACCCTCCCCCCCACCATTATTCCCTGCCTCCTCCTCCTGGTTACTGTCAGTTTGTTCTTAATTTACTCTTTATTGGCAAATTTAAAGCAGAAGAGTGGCAATTAGAACATAAGAAGGGAGATGCATTTTTTAGATTGCTCAGGCTTTCTAAAAGGGGAATTTCATGGGTGGGGCAGCTTGGTTCCTTATCTAGTTGTTTTGCTAGTAGCTTGGCAAAACAAGCAGATACACCTGGCGATACATTTATTTAAGCTTGATGTCTTTAAAATGGATACCTTGGCAATCAAAAAGCTTAATGTCAGGCACTTTTTATTATAATCAAAAAGCTTAATGTTAGGCACTTACACTATAGCCTGCTTTCTGCTCTTTATTATGGATACAATTATAAGTTGTTAACTTGGCATAATTTACTGAATATTCAAGTACATGATATTGAACTTGGCATCAACTTTTTATGTACTGTAACAAATTTAACCTGAAAGCTGAATACCCATAATTTTTGGAAAGTTTTCTGTCATTTTTCATGGGTAGTTATAAAAATCTTTACTTTCTTTGGAGCATATTAAGACTAATAAATCCAAATATACCAGTGAGTCAGTGTGAAGTTGAAGAGAAAGAAATTTAAGAATAGGAATTATGATTTTTGCTTTTCACTTTCACCCTGAAAATTGCATTGATATCATATTCTGTTGACACATAGAACTAGTTAACCTGAAATATTCTCTAAAAACAAATTAAATAAATAAATAACCCAAACCAAAAACCTACAAACCCCTAGATTTGTGTAGGCATCAGTCTTTTATGGAGACATTAATCTTAGAGAATTAGCTTTTCAAGTTAGTTGGCCTTCATGACTTCAATTCTTTTCCTCTCTGGCTGGAGATAGGATTTTAAATAATATTGAGAATGTTACTGCTTTGAGTTACAACAATTTAAATTGGTCGTAAAATTTCCTTCCTCTAACACGTAGGCAGGAGTCACTGACAGCGTAGATTCTTTGGTGAAAGGGGACCTGCTAAAATGAAGCAGAAGGGGAAACTTAACCTGTTTCATAGTTTTGTGAGGGATCAATCATCATAATTACTTAGCAGTTAAATTATTAAGCACTTAAAAAATTAAGTTAGTAATTTAAGCAAGCACTTTCAACAACATTTTACTTATTTGTCTATGACAGGAGCTTGAGAAAAGAGAATGTGAGATTTCTAAACCAAAAATCAGATGAAAGATTAATATTATAAAAGGTGTACTTTTAATTTATTTTAAGTATGTTTTATTGATTATGCTATTACAGTTGTCCCAGTCTTTTTTCTGTCTTTTATCCACCTCCACCTGCTACCCCATTCCCTTCAGCATTCCTCCGCCTTACTTCATGTCCATAGGTCATACATATAAGTTCTTTGGCTTCTCTCTTTCCTATACAGTTCTTAACCTCCCTCTGTCTATTTTGTACCTGCCATTTGTGCTTCTTATTCCCTGTACCTTTACCCTACTGATAACCCTCTATATGATCTCCATTTCTGTGATTCTGTTCCTGTTGTAGTTGTTTGCTTTTGTTTTGTTTTTTTTCAGGTTCAGTTGTTGATAGTTGAGTTTATTGTGAATTTATTTTCATAGTTTTGATCTTCTATTTCTTAGATAAATCCCTTTAACATTTCATAGAATAAGGCCTTGGTGATGATGAACTCCTTGAACTTGACCTTATCTGAGAAGCACTTTATCTGCCCTTCCATTCTAAATGATAGCTTTGCTGAATAGAGTCATCTTGGATGTAGTTCCTCACCTTTCATGACTTGGAATACTTCTTTCAGCCCCTTCTTGCCTGTAAGATTTGAGAAGTCATCTGGTAGTCTTATGGGAACTTCTTTGTAGGTAACTGTCTTTTCTCTTGCTGCTTTTAAGATTCACTCCTTATCTTTAATTTTGGGCTGCTTAATTATGATTTGTCTTGGTGTGTGCTTCCTTGGGTCCAACTTCTTTGGGACTCTGACCTTCCTGGACTTATGTGTCTATTTCCATCGCCAAATTAGGGAAGTTTTCTTTCATTATTTTTTCAAATAAGTTTTCATTTTGTTACACTTCCTATTCTTCTTCTGGCCCTATGATTCAGATGTTGGAACATTTAAAGTTGTCCCAGAGGTTCCTAAGATTCTCCTCATTTTTTTTGAATTCATGTTTCTTCATTCTGTTCATTATTTCTTCCTTTTGCTCCAGATTGTTGATTTGAGTTTGGATTTCCTTTTCTTCACTGCTGGTTTTCTATATTTTTTCTTTATTTCACTTTTCATAGCCTTCACTTCTTCCTTTATTTTGCTGCCATACTCAGCCATTTCTGTGAGCTTCCTGATTATCAGTGTTTTGAACTCTACATCTGATAGGTTGGCTATGAACCATTTTTTTTTTTTTTTTGGTCTCAGCACTGGTTAAGCGTTAAGGGACAGAGCCTTAAGAATTCATTAGGGCAGGCCAACCCACTTTGCTGTGTTGTGGTGCTGTATTTGGAGGATGGGTCCAAGAGGGAACAATACCACTTGCTCAGCTCTCACCCTGGTTTCAAGAGACTGACCATTTGTTCATTACAACAACCTCCACAGCTTTTTACAGCCAAAGGTTCTGTGGCTTTATTTTTCCTGCACTGGGACCCTGGGTTGCACTGTCTCATGCCCCAGTTGTTCCTTCATTATCCACATGCGAATGTGGGAGCACCCAGTCGGCCAGTCACTGCCTTGCCACATGTCCTCGTTGCCTGGGCTTCCTGTCTCCACCCCTCCTACCACTCTGGATAAATATTTCTTCTCTAACTGTTTGGTTGTTTGGACTTCCATACAGTTTGATTTTCTGTCAGTTCTGGTTGTTTTTTGTTTTTAAATTGGTTTTTCCTTCTTTTGGTTGTATGAGGAGGTGAAGCATTCTATTTATACTTCCATCTTGGCTGGAAATTGAAAAGCTGTACTTTTTAAAAGCACTTATTGTAAGGCCAGCATCTGTAGGAATGATTATACAGGGCCAGCATCTATAGGAGTGACTGTGTGGGGTAGATGGTAAGAATGACAGCTAATGATTATCTAGGGCAAGAATTGACAAGGTTTTTCTTTAAAGGGCCAAATAGTAAACAACTCTAGTCTTCTCAGGCCACATGATCGCTGATGTAACTACTCACCTTTGCTGTTGTATCATGAAAGTGGCCATAGACAACATGTTAGATGAATGGACCTAGCTGAGTTCCAAATAATCTTTATTTATATCAATAAATCTTTATTTATTTATATTAATCTTTATTTATATAAATATTTACTTATATCAGCTAGACGGTAGTTTGCCCATCTCGTGGTCTAGGTTAAGTAAATTTGTCAGAGATTTAGTGGTTTCTAATGCAGAAACTGCAGGATGAAAAAATATACATCTTCAATTATGTGATTTTGTTTTTCTTCATTCTTAATAGGTGAACATCATACCAGTGATTGCCAAAGCAGATGCAATTTCGAAAACTGAATTACAGAAGTTTAAGATCAAGCTCATGAGTGAACTGGTCAGCAATGATGTCCAGATATACCAGTTCCCAACAGATGATGAAACTGTTGCTAAAATCAATGCTTCAATGAATGTGAGCTCCTAACTGAATATTAATTGTTTTACATGTAGAAAATAAGTAATTTGTAGATAACATTGCTACTAATATAGTTTCACTTAGGCCTTCCAAAAAAACTAAACAAGGTGAATTTTCAAAAAGTCCAGTATAGGAAATGTTCCGTTTTCTTGAGTTAAAAAAAGTAAAATGAGAATATACTTTTTTTCTCCCTACTTTCATGTAGGTGTGGCTGAGTTGGTTGGGCATTGTCCAGCAAACTGAAAGGTTACTGGTTTAATTCTTGGTGAGGGCATATGTCTAAGTTGTGGTTCCTTCCTCATCAAGGCATGTATGGAAGTCAACCAATAGATGTTTCTCTCTGATATTGATGTTTCTCTTTCTCTCTTTCTCCCTTCCTTCCCATCTCTAAACAAACACACAAATAAGTGATACATTGTGATACTGCAGTACTCCTTTTGTGGAACCACACTTCATTGCCTTAAAGATACTTTTCTATTCTTTATAAACAGGAGAAGGCTTGAGAAGACTTTATGGCCTCCTTCAGATGCTATAGAATCTTAAAATCTTTGAGATCCTTCTAATCTGTTATTTAAATTCATTCTCCATTACAGCCTCACATGTACATACTAAATTTTCATAAAACTTTTAGTTTACTACTACTGAAGATGACTTAAGTTCTTTGTGTTAATTTCTTCAGGCTACCAAATTTGTTAAATAAATATCTTGTCATATTTTGAAGGATCATGGGTTTTAGAAACAGATTTAACCATATTCTTGTGAAAGTTATTACCCTCCCCTAAGCCTGTTAAGTCATCCACAAAGTTGGGTTAATAATACCTATCTTAAGGGTTGTTGAAAAGATACAAATTTTTATAAATATTTTAAAATTTTTATTCATTTTTTTAAAGAGAGGGAGAAGGGAGGGAGAAAGAGAGGGAGAGAAACATCAAGGAATGGGAGAAACATCAATATGTTGCCTCTCTCATGTCCCCAACCAGGGACCAGCCCCGCAACCCAGGTATGTGCCCTGACCAGAACTGAATCAGTAACCTTTTGGCTCACAGCCTGGCAGTCAATCCACATAAGCCAGGGCCAGAAGCTAAAACTTTTGTGCACTGCTTAACATGGTGACATTTATTAACTATTCATTTTATTTCCCTTTTTTCCCTTTTTTGACTTTTTATACTCCCATTTATTTTAGGATACTTAAACTAGATATATATAAAAATCTGATTAATGCAATTATAAATGTAAGTGATCTTAATTCTTATGTGTCATATTGTCTTTACATCTAATTTTGTTTCTTTGTCCATCTGGAATATGTTTCAGAAAGACACAGTTAAGAGACTAATCATGTCACTTATTAAATACTAAATACAATACTTAATATTTTTACATTAGACTTTTCCCTTATATTAATCCTCAACTTCAGACAGTTTTCTCATTGACTCTGAATCGAGGTATGTTCTTTCAAAATTTTCTCCTTACTTCAGCTAGTTTTTCCTCTCTGCTTGATTCATCTTAAGTCTGGGTTGTATCTTCCTGCAAACAGTGATCTTTCACATCTCTAAATTTCTGTAACATTTATTATATTTAGCATTAGTTTGAGACTTTAATTATTTTATATTAGTATCATGTCTGTGTACAAACTAAATATAGATATATACATAATCTAGTTGCGTATATGTGTGTGTATATACCTACATATATATACACACACATGCATACTATGGTCAGGCACAGGTAACACTCTCCCTTTTGTTCTTTTAAAGATTTTATATATAGAGAGAAGGAAGGGAGAGATGGAGGGAAACATCAGTGTGTGGCTGCCTCTTGCGTGGGCTCTGCTGGGGACCTGGCCTGCCAGCCATGCATGTACCTGGACCAGGAATCGAACCTGTGACCCCTTGGTTTGCAGGCTGACACTCAGTTCACTGAGTAATACCAGCCAGGGCTATAACCACCCCTTTTTTAATTACAAAATCTTTAGCATGTAATTCTGTAACATAACAATATCACACTAAAGCACGTCATTATAACATCTTAGGTAAAGTGTTTAAATTAAAAATATAAATTAATTACACCTGTATTATTACCGTAGTAACCACTCAAGCAGGCATTACATATATATGAGTTTACGTAATAAACTCATAAAATATGTATATTATATGAGTTTCTTTGGAAAACATCCAACCATTGTTAATATAATTAGAACAGTTTCTGTGACATTAGTGTAACCTGGTAGCCCAAGAGAGTGGACTGGAATGCACTTGCATGGACAATGACAACTTCACTGTACTAGTCAATAGGGGAGATAGACACTCATTGAGTGAGCATGTGTACTGTGTGGCTGTTGCATTTAAAATGACAGCGAGTAGAGCAATGAATCTACATCAGCTTCTGTGTTAAGCTTGAACATTCCTCCATGAAAACTATTCAGATGATTTAGAATGCAGCTATTGGCAACTGGTGATTGGAAGCTTCATCACAACAATGTACCCACTCATTCATCACATCTTGTGTGGTTTTAGTAAAACATGAAATCACCCAGGTCACTCAGCACCTCTACAGCCCAGATTTGGCAGCCTGTGACTTCTACATTTTCTGAAAACTAAAATCACCTTTGAAAGGGAAGAAATTTGAGACCATCAGTGCAATTCAGGAAAATACAGTGGGGCAGCTGATGGGAATTGGAAGAACTATGTGAGGTCCCTAGTTGCCTATTCTGAAGTGACTGAGGTGTCATTGTCTAATGTTTCTTGTATCTTCTATCTTCTTCAATAAATGTTTCCGTTTTTCATGTTAGATGGTTGCATACTTTCTGGACTCTGTGTGTGTGGTGTGGGGGTGTTGTATTTCCTCACCATTATCTTTGTCTTTTATGGCAACGACAATATTGGGGGAAATAATACCTGTATTACCTATACTGGAATTCTTTTAAATATATTTATTGATTATGCTATTACAGTTGTCCCATTTCCTCCCTTTATTGCCCTCTGCACTGCGCACCCCCTCCTACCTGCATCACCCCTCGCCCTTAGTTCATGTCCACGGATCATATATATAAGTTCTTTGGCTTCTACATTTCCTATACTATTAACCTCCTCCTGTCTATTTTCTACCTACCATTAATGCTACTTATTCCCTATAACTTTGCTCCCATCTCCCCACCTCACATCCCACTGATAACCCTCCATGTGCTTTTCATTGGTCTGAATCTGTTCCTGTTCTAGTTGTTTGCTTAGTTTGTTTTTGTCTTTTCAGGTTCTGTTGTTAGTTGTGACTTTGTTGCCATTTTACTGTTCATATATTTGATCTTCTTTTTCTTACGTAAGTCCCTTTAACATTTCATATAATAAGGGGTTGGGGATAATGAACTCCTTTAACTTGACCTTATCTGGGAAGCACTTTATCTGCCCCTCCAATCTAAATGATAGCTGTGATGTAATTTTGGATGTAGGTCCTTGACTTTCATGACTTTGAATACTCCTTTGCAGTCCCTTTTTGCCTATAAGGTTTCTTTTCAGAAACCAGCTGATAGTCTTACAGGAACTCCTTTGTAGGTAAGAGTCTCCTTTTCTATTGTTGCTTTTAAGATTCTCTTCTTATCTTTAATCTTGGGTAAAATAATTATGATGTGCTTTGGTGTGTGCTTCTTTAGGTCCAACTTCTTTGGGACTCTGAGCTTTCTGGACTTCCTGGAAGTCTATTTCATTTGCCAGACTGGGGAAGTTCTTCTTCATTATGTTTTTAAATAAGTTTTCAATTTGTTGCTCTTGTTCTTTTCCGTCTGGCACCCCTATGGTTCAGATGTTGGAACATTTGAAATTGTCTGAGAGGTTCCTAAGCCTCTCCTCAATTTTCTGAACTCTTGTTTCTTCATTCTGTTCCAGTTGACTGTTTATTTCTTCTTTCTGTTACAAATCTTTGATTTGAGTCCAAGTTTTCTCCCCGTCATTGTTGGTTCCCTATATATTTTGTTTTATTTCACTTTTCATAGCCTTCACTTTATCCTCTATTTTGCGACCATACTCAAACAATTCTGTGAGCATCCTTATTACCAGTGTTTTGAACTCTGCATCTGATAGATTGGGTATCTCTTCATTGCTTAGTTGTATTTTTTCCTGGAGCTTTGACCTGTTCTTTCATTTGAGCCATATTTTTTTTGTCTCCCCAAATCTGTTATGTAGTCAGGGGTAGAGCCCTTGGTATTCACCAGTGGAGGTCACTGTACATCACTGCTTTATGGCACTGTATGTGGGGGTGGGATCCTGGAGGGAACAATGCACTTGCCTGGCTCTTGGCCCGCTTTCAGTCACTTCCTCTACTACCTATAAGCAAGTTGGGCCCTTCTGGTGCTGATTCCTGGGTGGGTGGGTTTGTGTACATTCTAGGACCCTATGGGTCTCTTCAACAAATTCTTGTGAGGTTGGGAGTTTCTCCCACAGCTGCAACCCCCACAGGTTTTTTTCAGCCAGAGATTTGGGGGCCTTCTTTCCCTGCTCTAGAACTCTTGATTTGGTTTGGTGGTCTGTCTTGCTCCCTGGTGTTTCCTCCCACTTTGTCTGCACACAAATATGGGACCGCCTGGTCTGCTAGCTGCCAACTTGCCCACTCAGGTCCTATAGCCAACTGCCTTGCTGCGAGTCCTCTCTGCCACAGCTGCCTGTCTCTGCCCTTCCTACGAGTCTGGATGAGTGCTTCTTTTTTAACTACTTGGTTGTCAAGACTTTCATACAGTTGATTTTCTGGCAGTTATGGTTGTTTTTTGTTTTTAAATTTGTTGTTTGCCCTTCTTTTGGTTTTGCGGGGAGGCACAGCATATCTACCCACACTTCCATTTTTGGGGTAGATATGTTTGGAAGTCTGGAATTATTTTCTTGGTTTTATTTCTATAGCATAATAGTTTTCATGTAGGGGGATATTCAATTTTTTTTTCTTTATAGCATCTGAAAACGACTCTTGTAGTAGAATTGGCACATACTCATTATCAAGTTTGAGAATTCCAGGCAGAGCAGAGCATTTGATTTTTAATAAATTTGCTATTTAATTAATTTTTTTCTGTTATATTGTGGTTTCCTTCTAGGGACACTTGCCATTTGCTGTTGTAGGAAGTATGGATGAGGTAAAAGTTGGAAATAAAATGTTCAAAGCTCGCCAGTACCCTTGGGGTATTGTACAAGGTAAATGAGATAAACAATGACTAGAACTGTTTTTGTCACCCAGTAGTCTCAAAGTTGCACTCAATGCATTCTTTGAAGTGATGCTTATTTTTTATTATGATTTGTTGTCAGAAAAGTGGGCCATGTTCAATTTAATCTAGTCTGTAGAGACCAGGCAGAGCCTCCCCATTACTTGCTCAGGTGTACCAAGACATTCAGAAGGTGAAACAAACTGATCAAGCACTTTGAATAAAATTTGAGTATGAATAGTAGTGTTTAAACATGATACATAAACTAATTACTAAGTAATTCTAGGGTACAATAAGCCATCTTATAAATTTATATATTTTTACTACAGAATATTGCCAGCTACTTCCAAAATAAACCAGTCAACCAACTAAAAACATGTTAGGATTTATTTAGCATTATCATGAGTAAGTAATTAGTACTCTCTGGTTCAATTACTTGTGATGGTAATGAATGGGGAATGGATTGCCATTGCTAATACTGGTTTCCCAATGCTGCTTTTTAAATTGACAACTTTTATAATGCATGAAAAATACATTTTAACATTTTAATGTATAAAATATTGAAAAATAACTGTGCTTAAACAGTAATATACTTGTTTGTAGTCTTCTAGTCACCATAAACGAGGTGACTAGGAGGACCATGTAAGTTTATTCACTAACTAACACAGGATTGTAAATGTGGCATTGTATAAAAATAACTTGATAGTTATAGTGTACACAGATGGGATTCTTGAGTATGAAGAATTTATTACTTTGAAGTTTTATTTTGAAGTAAAACAATGTTAGATATGTTTTCAGTACTATATTAAGTATCCTGAATATGGTTTGTAAACTTCTAACACTGTATTAGTGAAATAACTGGAGAACATAGTAACATTATACAGTGCATTTCTTTCAAATTTTTTGTTATCCATTTGCTACTAAATTTAAAGCAAGTCTTCTAGACTGATAATTAATGTTGCCTATAATTCAGTGTGTATTATACAAGAGTCTTCCTTGGTTATGTATATAGAATAATTGTAGCTCTTAAGCAGCTTTATCATTTCATTGTTTATTTCAAATATTTTCACTTACGCATTCATTCAACAAATACTAATTTTGTGTCAGGAATTAAAAACTTGTGTTGCTGTTTCTTATTTTTCTGGCTAGTGGAGAATGAAAACCACTGTGACTTTGTAAAGCTTCGGGAAATGCTCATTTGCACAAATATGGAGGACCTTCGAGAACAGACCCACTCTAGGCACTACGAACTATACAGGCGCTGCAAACTGCAGGAGATGGGCTTTACTGATGTGGGCTCAGAGAGTAAGCCACTCAGGTAAGGGATTTCTCTGACAAATAAGCCAAAGACAAAGTTAGAGGGTATTGTACCTTTTTATATATCCAGAATGATATATGTGTTTTTCAGAAATCTCCCAATAGGACATAGAACCATTTGATTTTGATTACTGTGCTTCTCAGATCACTTGAAGGCTTCTTGTTTTTAAGGGTCTCTAAGTCCTCACATGACTCAAGGAGTTACATAGAATGAAGAACATATGTAAAAATGCTGCCATTTCAGTAAATGCTAAAATGAATACTGGTAAATAAAGTTAAACTCTTTTAATTTGAGTTTTTTAAATTTATCTGAAAAAGATAAAAGCATATTTACTTATTAACATAAAAGAAAGAATGTGAATCATATTAAATAAATTTAAAGCTGTTCATTTTTATCCTGATAAATGTTTTACAATGACTTAAATTTAGGAAAATGTAAATGAAGAATGAACGTACTTATAGGGAGTCAGAAATTAGACTGTTTCTTAAATATTACAATATAGTTACAAGAATTTTGGAACCTGATGACCTTTTTATGAGCATTAAATGGTATGAACTTGCCTGGTAATTTTTATGCTGCTACATTCTTTTTTTTTTTTAATTAGGACATGTAACATGATATTTTAATATACTAAGTTACATTTCACATAGCATTACAGAACAGTTTTTGCATGGAGGAAAGCATGAGATCCTTAAACTATTTTTTTTGATTTTTTAAAAATATGTTTTATTGATTATGCTATTACAGTTGTCCTATTTCCCACCTTCATTCCCCTCCACACCCCCTCCTCCACCATTGCCCCCCTTTAGTTTATGACCACGTGTCTCAAGTTCTTTAGATTCTATATTTCCCCTACTATTCTTGCCCTCCCCCCTATCTATTTTCTACCTACAGTCTGTGCTACTTATTTTCTATATCTTCTCCCCCCTTCTCCTCCTCCCACTCCCCTGTTGCTAACCCTCCATGTGATCTTCATTTCTGTGGTTGCTCCTGATCCAGCTGTCCTCTTAGTTTGCTTTTGTTTTAGGTGTGGTTGTTAATAACTGTCAGTTTGCTATCCTTTCACTGTTCATGTTTTTTATCTTCTTTTTCCCTTTAACATTTCATATAATAAGGTCTTGGTGATGATGAACTCCTTGAATTTGATCTTATCTGAGAAGCACTTTATCTGTCCTTCCATTCTAAATGAAAACTTTGCTGGATAGAGCAATCTTGGATGTAGGTCTTTGGATTTCATGACTCGGAATACCTCTTTCCAGCCCCTTCTTGCCTGTAGGGTCTCTTTTGAGAAATCAGCTGACAGTCTGATGGGAACTCCTTTGTATGTGACTGTCCCCTTAGCTCTTGCTGCTTCTAGGATTCTCTCCTTCATTTTCATCTTGGCTAATGTAATTATGATGTGCCTTGGTGTGTTCCTTCTTGGGTCCAACTGCTTTGGGACTCTCTGAGCTTCCTGGATTTCTTGGAAGTCTATTTCCTTTGTCAGATTGGGGAAGTTCTTCTTTATTATTTGTTCAAAGAAGTTTTCCACTGGTGGCTGTTCCTCTTCCCCTTCTGGTACCCCTATAATTCGGATGTTGGAGTGTTTAAAGATGTCCTGGAGGCTCCTTAGCCTCTCCTCATTTGTTTGAATTTTTGTTTCTTCATATTTTTCTGTTTGGTCATTTTTTCCTTCCTTGTGGTCTGCTTCCTTGATTTGATTCCCAGTTTCCTTTCCATTACTATTGGTCTCCTGTGCATTTCCCTTCATTTCAATTAGTTTAGCTGTCATATGTTCCTCTAATTTGTGGCTAAAGTCAACCAGTTCTGTGAGCATCCTGATCAGCAATGTTTTGAACTGTGCCTCTGATAGGTTGGCAATTTCTTGTCTGCTTAGGTTTATTGGCTCTGGGGCTCTGAGTTGTTCTTGAGCCATGTTTTGATCTGTTCATGTCTGTTACTTATGAGGAGAGGTGCCTTAGGTGTTCACCAAGGCAGTGCTACCCAGGTTGCTGGTTTGTGACACTGTATGTGGGGGTGGGTCAGAGAGGGATAATGGCAGTTCCCTCTGCCGTTGGGGCCTGCAAGGTCCATCTCACTGCTTGCTCCTTCACTGGTTTATCTGCGGGCGAATGTGTGACCTCAGTCAGCCCTCAGTGAGTCCACCCACTACTCCACACCTGGGATCAGCCCAGGGCTGCTGGCGCACCTGGGTTGAACACCCGGGTTGGTTTGGTGGATATTTCCTGCTCAACCCCGCTCTGCTGCTGGCTATGCCCCTCTTACTGGTTTGTCTGAAGGGTTTGTTGTTGTCAGACTTCTGTATAGTTCAGTTTCCTGTGGTTTGGCTGCGTTTTTGTTGCTAAAACTTTGTTGTTTTTAAACTTGGTTGTGTGATGAGGTACAGTGCTTCTACCTACACCTCCATCTTGGCGGAAGTCCTCAGATCCTTAAACTATTTTAAACTCTTATGAAACTAAGGGTTTTCTTTACATTTGATTATTTGCAGTTCAGTAAGTTTCCTGTGTATTTGTGTTTGCACCATAGTAAACGCAAAAGGCGGAGGACAACATTAAATTGATGCTGCTATTGCATATGACCTGATTTAATACATGAGGTTTAATTTTTTCCAATCTGTGGATTTATTTAGTGTTTTAGCTCTGGAAGCATAATAAATGAAGAATTATGTGTACTTAATACCTCCTCACCTGTTGAGGAATGTTGTTTTTTTCCTTTTAATTTTATTTTAATTATTATTCAAGTACAGTTTTCTGTCTTTTACTTCCATCCCAGCCCACCCACACAGCCCTCCAATTTCTACTCCCCTTAGTTTTTGTCCATGTGTCCTTTTTTTTTTTTTTTAACATTTTATTTATTTATTTTTCGAGAGAGGGGAAGGGAAGGAGAAGGAGTGGGAGAGAAACATCAATGTATGGTTGCCTCTCATGCGTCCCCTGCTGGGAACTGGCCTGCAACCCAGGCATGTGCCCTGACTGGGAATTGAACCTCGATACTCTGGTTCGCAGGCCGGCACTCAATCCACTGAGCTATGCCAGCCAGGGCCCATGTGTCCTTTATACTTGTTCCTGTAAACCCTTCTCCTTTTCCCCTGAAATTTCCTCCCTTCTCCCCTCTGGCCACTGTCATCCTGTTCTCTATTTCAGTGTCTTTGGTTATATTTTGCTTGTTTGTTTGTTTGTTGTTTAGGTTCCTGTTAAAGGTGAGATCATAAGATATTTGTCTTTAACCATCTGGCTTATTTCACTTAGCATAATCCTTTACAGTTCTATCCATTCTGTCACAAAAGGTAGGAACTCCTTCCTTCTTTATGCTGTGTAGAATTCCGTTGTATAAATGTACCATAATTTTTTGATCCACTCATTTACTGATGGGCACCTAGGTTGCTTCCAGCACTTGGTAATTGGAAATTGTGCTGCTATGAACATTGGAGTGCATAGGTTCTTTTGGATTGGTGTTTTAGAATTTTTAGGGTATAATCCTAGCAGTGGAATTGCTGGGTCAAAAGGCAGATCCATTTTTAGTTTTCTGAGAAAATTCCGTACTGTTTTTCCGTAGTGGTTGTACCAGTCTGCAATCCCACCAACAGTGCACTAAGGTTCCCTTTTCTCCACAACTTCTCCAACACTTGTAGCTTGTTGCTTTGACTGGTTTGAAGTGGTATCTCATTGTGGTTTTAATTTGCATCTCTCTAATAGCTACCAATACTGAGCATCTTTTAATGTGTCTCTGGATACTCTGTATGTCCTCCTTGGAGAAGTGTCTGTTCAAGCCCTTTGCCCATTTTTTAATTGGGTTGCTTGTCTTCTTAGAGTGCAGTTATGTTAAGTTTTTTTATATATTTTGGAGATTAAACCCTTGTCTGAGGTATCATTGGCAAATATGTTTTCCCATATAATTGGTTCTCCATTTATTTTAATACTGTTTTCTTTAGCCATGCAGAAGCTTTTTATTTTGATGAGATCCCATTTGTTTATTCTTTCCTTCGTGTCCCTTGCTCTAGGGGGCATATCAGTGAAAATGGGGCTGTGTGAAATATCTTGGATTTTTCTGTCCATGTTCTCCTCTAGGACTTTAATGGTGTCATGACTTATATTTAAATCTTTTATCCACCTTGAATTTATTTTTGTGTATGGTGTTAATTGATGCTCAAGTTTCATTTTTTTGCATGTAGCTGTCCTGTCCAGTTCTCCCCACCCCATTTGTTGAAGAGGCTATTTTTACTCCATTTTATGTTGCTGCCCCCTTTGTCAAATACTAATTGACCATAGAGACTTGGATTTATTTCTGGGCTCTCTGTTCTATTCCATTGGTCCATGTCCTTGTTTTTATGGCAGAACCAGGCTATTTTCATTACAGTGGCCTTGTAATACAGTTTGGTATCAGGTGTTGTGATCCCTTCTACTTTGCTCTTTTTTCTCAAAATTGCAGCAGCCTATTCATGGTCGTTTATAGTTCCATATAAATTTTTGAAGTATTTATTCTATGTCTGTGAAATATGCCATTGGTACTTTAATAGGTATTGCATTGAATATGTAAATTGCTTTGGGTAGTATGGACATTTTGATGATGTTAATTCTTCTGATCCATGAACACACTATATGTTTCCATTTGTGTCTTCCTTGGTTTCTTTGTTCAGCGTCGTGTCATTTTCTGAATACACATCTTTAACCTCTTTGGTTGGGTTTATTGCTAGGTATTTTATTTTTGTTTTTGCTAAATTGAATGGCATTTTTTGTTCTTGATTTTCGCTTCTGCTGTTTCATTGTTGGTATACAAAAATGCCTTTGATTTCTGGATATTGACTTTCTATCCCGCTGTTTTGCCAAATTTATTTGTTATGTCAAGCAGTTTTTTGGCCAAGTGTATAGGATTTTCTGTATACGCTATCATGTATGTCATCTGCAAACAGTGAGATTTTTTTTCCTCCTTTCTGATTTGGATGCCTTTTATTTTCTTTTCTTCTCTGATCACTGTGGCTTAAACTTCCAATACTATATTGA